AAAAAAAAAAAAAAAAAAAAAAAAAAAAAAAAAAAAGATCTGCCATTTGTAGAAAATCCACTCACTGTGAGCTCCAGATAACAGGGGCTGTCCACTATACTCTACCAAGTTCCTATCACAGTGTCTGCCACAAAGTAGATCCTTAATTGGCTGAGTAAATTTGCTTTCACATAGTTTTCCTTAACCAAAATCTAGCTACAATAGGGTACAAAACCACGCTTTGGCTCCTTCAACACAAAAACCATCCCCAACCCACCCTTGCCAAAAAGGGGGTGGAAATTACAGATTAATACAGGGTTTCTTAACCTTGTCACTTAACATTTTAGGCTGGATAATTCTTTGTTGTGGGGGAAGAGGATTGGCCTGTGTGTTGTAAAATACTCAGCTGATTTCTGATTTCTCCACTTTATGCCAATAGCACCTGTATCCCAAGTGTGACAATCAAAAATGTCTCTAGGGGCCGGCCCGTGGCTCACTCGGGAGAGTGTGGTGCTGATAACACCAAGGCCCCGGGTTGGGATCCCATATAGGGATGGCCAGTTAGCTCACTGGGTGAGCGTGGTGCTGACAACACCAAGTCAAGGGTTAAGATCCCCTTACCAGTCATCTTTTTAGGGGAAAAAAAAAAAAATGTCTCTAGACATCACCAAAGGTGCCCTAGAGGGGCAAATTGCTCCTGGTTGACCTGTAGACAGTATTAACCTATTATATAAATTGAGGTGTTTGAGCTTTCTTTCCTTTTAATTCTCCAAGTAATTTTCACATTTAGAAGGCATTACTGGGTATTTAATAATTATACATAGATGAATCTATAGCTGATTATTCTATCAAAAAATAGTCCATCCCTTGAAGAAAAGATATCGCTTTAATGATCTGCTTGATCCAATTCACCTTGGTTCCTAAATAATAACTCTTCCTCTGTGTGTCCTTCCTATTCTTATAGCATTCTATCCTGTCACTACCATTATCTGTGTCTGCCTCCCTCTCCTTAAAGGTTTATGTTAGAAAAAAGGCTAACAATGAGTTAAGCATCCATGTTATTATATTAGAAAGAGAATAGTAGAAAGAAAATGATCACAGATAAAAACAATTATAAATGAAAGAGAAAATGGAGATACAACCAAGAGGGTATAACAAAACTAGAAGCTGGTTCTTTGAAAAGAGTAATAAAAAATAAATTTCTGGGAAGGTTAAGAAAAAAAGAAAAGATAAAGCAATACTATTCATCAACTTTATGAAAAAAATGGCAACAGACAAAAATGGATAAATTCCTGAGAAAATAAACCTTAATCAAAAAGAAATTATACAAATATAGGATGTCCCAGTTTCTTCAACAAATTAATGCTATAAAAGGGAGGAAAAAAGGAGAATGGGAGTGACGGTTATAAAAAAAAAAAAAAAAAAAGCGATTCAACATTTTTTTTTTTTTTTTTAAAAGATGACCGGTAAAAGGGGATCTTAACCCCTGACTTGGTGTTGTCAGCACCACACTCTCCCGAGTGAGCCACGGGCTGGCCCTGAGATTCAACTCTTTTTTGAACTCAATTTAAAGAGATTTGGTCATACACATGTACTGTATAGACCATTTGGATGCTGACTAAACAAACCAACTTTTGTAAAAAACACATTTTGAAATGAGAATCAGGAAACTTATACACATCAACTGAGTAGTGGGTGATATTAAATTAATTCAGTTGAGTGTGATAATGACATAGTAACAATTTTAAAATAAATCCTTTTTACTGAGAGATACATATTGAAGTATTTCTGGTGAAATGATATGGCCAGGATTTGCTTTAAAATATCCTAGGCCCAGGCCGGCCCGGTGGCGCACTGGAGAGTGCGCCACTTGGGAGCGCGGCGGCGCTCCCACAGAGGGTTCGGATCCCATGTGGAGACCGGTTCCTGCTCACTGGCTGAGCGTGGTGCGGGCGCAACACCGAGGGTTGCGATCCCGTTGCCGGTCCCCGGTACGGGCGCGACACCAAGGGTTGCGATCCTGTTACCGGTCAGTAAAAAAAGACAAAAAGGAAAAAAAAAAAAAAAATCCTAGGCTGCCCGGTTAGCTCTCACTTGGTTAAAGCATGGTGTTGATAACACCAAGGTCAAGGGTTCGGAATCCTGTACAGCCAGCTGCATAAAAACAAAAAGAAAACAAAAAAAACTCCAGCAAAAAAAGAGGGGTTCTGGGCTGGCCTGTGGCTCACTCAGGAGAGTGCGCTACTGATAACACCAAGGCCCCGGGTTTGGATCCCATATAGGGATGGCCGGTTCGCTCACTGGCTGAGCGTGGTGCTGACAACACCAAGTCAAGGGTTAAGATCCCCTTACCGGTCATCTTTAAAAAAAAAAAAAAAAAAAAAAAAGAGGGGTTCCGTCTACAATGTGCACTGTAATAAAAAAGGGGGTGGGCTGGTAGTAGTGCAAAATACTAGTAACTTGGAGCTAGGAAATAGGCACATGGGAGTTCTTTATACCATTCTATTAAACTGAAATTTCCCATTTACAAAGGTTTAAAAAGAAACATAAAAAGCCTGAATAATCCTATTACTATTAGAGAAAATGAATTCTTGGTTAATCTTTCCATAAAGAAAGCACCATATTTCAGATCCCCATACAGGCCAGCCGCCGGGGGTGGGGTGGGGTGGGGAGAGCACCATATCTAAATTGCTTTACAGGCATATCCTACACCAAACTCCCCCCCCCCCTTTTTTTTGTCTTTTTTCGTGTCCGGCAACGGATTGCAACCCTCAGTGTCGCGCCCGCA